ACACATTTGAATTTCAATGACGTGTTATAAACTGTCTACAAGCAAAATACAGGGAATTTCCACCTCATGCAATAGCCTGTGTTCCTTCAGTGGAAAGTGGTGCAATCTGATAGTCTGATAGAGTTGCTTTGCTTTTAGCACAAACTCCCTTCCCTTACTCTATCATTATTGTATAACATGACCAATGCAGTTTACAGAACTACAGTTTCAAAAACCCCAGTCACACATCAGCTCATTTGGTATGTTCACAGCAAAAAACCACATTACTGGCACTGAAGTTCACTGACCAGATACAACTCTGACAAAGTAAACACAAGTTGCTTTTGCACACTGACTTCCATGTTATTGAACTGGCCTATTCGGAGGTCTGACACAAATCATGTGGTACCTGATAGGAGACAAGATGATACTCTCAAATGAATGATGCAGAAAACAGACCTAAGCAAGGGGATAGATACAGGACAACATAATAGACAGCAATATGAGAAGGGACTGGCTCATCAACATGAAGGAAAATTTCCTAGTTTGTCATTTTCTACCAAAAAACCAGTTCACTGCCATTCACAGGAACTAGCTGAGGAAGAAGCTGTAGGCTACTAAGTTTTAAGTTTTCAAATTCCTTTTTTTCCCTTGGCAGATCTGAGGGGTTTTTTTTCAAAACTAAAATACTGCCAAATAACTGTTACTGCTAATAAATTTATTGTTGGCTGTGGCATTGTTTATTTTTTCTTATAATAGGTTCTGTACTGGTTCAAGACCTACAAGGTAAAGTCAAAATCCTATCTAAGTCAACTTTACATTCATGGGCATATTCCATGTTAACAACAGCTTACAAGTCTGACTATGATAATAAAGTAATTATAACATACAAAGAAATAAAAGTTGATGTACAAATCTATCATATGTTGGCAACCTACATGAACTGTTAAACTAATGAATTATGCAAATCTATGTTTCCCCAAAGTTTTAAAACATTAATCAAAATTTTTAGTATTCCTCTGTAAATGCAAGATGTTCCATAACTGAACCAATGAAAACTTGCTTTCTTTTTCATTTTGCCCTTTCCTTTAAAACTGTTGCCCATATTCTGCTTCTTGCCCCTTTTCAGATATCTGTCTCTCAACAGACTGACTTCAGAGCAAACTATGTCAACAAGAAACACCCAATCTTTAACACCAATCCTCCCCACCTTCCATTTCAAACAACCTTCTCACAAACTACAAAATCTTCCCAGAAAAAAAAGCCACTTTGAACAAGGCTCATTTTCCCAGAAACCAGAATCACAAAACTAGAGCTGCACACAAAGCCACTGCAGATAACGACACAGAGGTGTGCTGCTACTTCAGATATAAAGGTTGATTTTCTGTGGTAGGTTACACTGAAGCTGATAGGTCTTTAACTTTGAGTTTGAAATACAAGGCCTATATGAATCAAGTACTGGATCTGCAGCCCCAAATCCATCACAAAATCAGAACCACTTTGCCCACTTTAGTATATAAAATTATTAAAATGCACATCATTAAAATGTACTCTTACTGTATCCATAGCTTTCTAAGGCAAGCTAAGTAGAAGCCTATTATTTTCCTCTCTTTCATAGTGCTTGTTAAGTGACAATGTATTTATTTTACATTTATTAGAGCACCTACAAACTTCAGATTCAGTCCTCTTTCATCTCACCACTACGCCAACATTCTGCCATTTGCATTTACAATATAAATCAAAGCTGTTATTTTTTGCTGAAATGGAGTTCCACTAAATCAGATATTTTTCTCCTACCTGTTGGTTCACCATTTTAAATACAAACACTCTCTTATAAATTACATGAATAAAGAGATCTTGCAACTTTGTACCTATATTTAAATCCCCATTTCCTCATGTCATAGGTAACTTCTAATATTCAGGTAGTTTTTTTTATATTAAATCTGTCCATAACCAAATATTGCACTTTCGTGTTTCATAACATTTCCTTACCTCCCTCATAATACCAAGCCTTTAATCTCCATTATATTGATATGTAAAGATATGCAGCTGTCCTTTTATTTTTATAACACCTAAATGTCATAATTTATGTGGAATATTATGCATGAACTATCTAAAGATTTAGGTTCTGATCATAAAAGCCAAAGGAGTGCATATGAATAAAATCAAGGCATATAAGTTAATCTGCAGAAGAACCAGCAAACTCCTGGTATCTATCTGTTCAGTAAAACATTTTCATCATTTGTTATTAAAAGTTTTATTCAGCGCATTTCAGTATTTATATTGGCATTAGTTAAAAAGGAGGAAAAATGCTGGAGCCTTTAAAAAAAATATCTTTTACACAGCTTTGATATTTCTTCTTTTCTCATTTACTGCTTCTAATAGGAACTGACTTTTCCTAACTTCCCAGGTTTTTGTAAAAAGGAACAGGAGGATTAATAGAAAACTTTAAAGAAAAGTGTTTGCCATTGAATCACTATTTTAAAAATACCATTGTCATTGAAATACCTCATTTTCACTTTTGACTATCTACACATGATGTTTAGATTGCTAACAGAAAACTCTCCCCTTATAATATGAAGTCATGGAACAAGAATAGCATACATTAATAACATTTTTACTCACTTTAATAACATATAACTGATTTAACAAAATAATAGCAATTTGTCAGCTATATGGCATCTGCAGCTTCATGAAGAAATTATACAATAAGGAAAAGAGATATGAATTTATCACTAATCACTTACTGTCCTCAACACAGCAGTAAACTTTGCTAGCAATGATTCTATGAGTTCTGACAACATCTAAACATACAAAATTCATTTTTTGTCTAATCTGGCTTCAATATCTTTTATGCTGCTTTACTCCTCTCAGTCTTAGAAAGGTAACTAAAGGTTAAAAGAATCTGCCACTTCCTAAAATCAGGTTATTTTATGAACTGGGAGGGGACAGAGCTAGATATCAGTCAGCATTTTCTTAACATAAAATAATCCAACTCTATTGTGTGTGACCACCGTATAGAAGAAGAAAAAAGAGCACAAGAAAACACAATATGGTCTCATTAAAGTAAAATTTAGAGGATCACAAATACAAGAATTAAAACAACTTCAAGTGTACCAAAATTATTCATCTGACCTCAATGTTACTGAATTCAGAGTAGAGACTGCAGCAGATTTTTCTTGTGTTATCTCTCTTCTTAAAACATACAGTACCCAGTATGTTCAAAAATAGCAATCATTCACATTTCTGAACTTTACTTTCAAAACATCTATAAACAGAAGTACATAATTTTATTGGTACCACAATTCTAGGTCCAACTTCATGTAAGTCTGCTTTGTAGACTCCATTCAGTTTTTCAAACTTCTATTAAACACTTTTGCTAAACATTCCTATGCTATATGAACCACTTCTAGCTGGAAGCTATTCCACTGAAAAGTCAGATAGCTTTGTATAACTGTAAACGAAGACGACTATGGAGATTTTTTATAGTGTTATAGCAATAATATTACTTTCAGCAGAAACTAAGTTAGAGCACGCAAGAAAGAGCAAGAGCCTGTGTACTGGCATTAATTCTTTTGCCAATAACCTGGAAGTAGATAAGCTTTACAAAACACTAGCATATTTTAAAATGCATCAACAGTAGCAATTATGTTCTTCATTAAAAAATGCTACAGTATTACCATATTGAGCAAGCACAACCTCAATAGCTGCTATTTCAGCCAAAAATTAAAAAAAGGGTGGGGGAAAGAAACCAGCTTTTTTACTTGTCAAATACTTCATAAAACCGACTTACAGACTTCCCTCTGAGCTGTTAACTGCGAGGAAATTGTTAGCCTGCAGAAACAGCCCGGGTGTGCTGTTTTACAGGTCTGATTTCCAAAACTTTCATCTGTGGTGTAGATTTCATAAACAGAGAATAGTCAGGACTGTACTCACTTTACAATTTCACTTAAATTGCATTACAGATCGAGAGGCAGTTCATCAAAGGACATATTCCAAGTAAACCAGCAGATATGAGAGGGCAAGATAGATGTGTGCAGCATTTATCTTTCTAAACCCTGAAATGTCAAGTTAAAAAAAAAAATCTTACAAAAATGGTTCTGCTACTGCAGCGCTCTACTAATATTTCTCTCACTCACCCGGGGGCTTCTTAAAACAGTAGGTCAGAAATCTGCTTCTCTAAGTTCCTAGCTGAAACAAAGGCTTTAAGTAAAACATTAGCTAAGGTTACAATTCTCTCTTTTGCTATCAGCCTACTCAGAACAAAGCTAACATACACACCAGCAATGGATGCTTCAACAGAAACAGAAAACCTAGCCTGCAAAACACCAAAGTCAAAGGTCTTCATGCTTAAACTTCTAAGGCATGAACTGAAATTTGAAAAAAAACCAAAACTATTTCCCAGTTCTATATCCTTATCAGGGAGGAATTTTACCTAAAGAACCGCTAAAATTCATTTAAGGAGCTTGAGGTTGTAATTTTTTCCGCTGCATTCAAGAAGTAATGGTAGCGTAAGACATTAAGTGATTGATGTTTTCTTAATTTTACTATATATAAATGATGTAAATTTTGATCAACTATTCCAAAGCATTTTTTCAGATTTCATTCAAAAGAGCCTCATTTCTCTGTATGGCTGTTTTCTACTAGATGCGAATCTGCCTACCTCAATAAAATTTCATGATCAAAAGCTAATGAGTTGCATCCAAAACTGTCAAAGTTGATGTATTTTCAGAGTAAAACAGAAGCGTAGGGAAAAGATGAGGAACTACTAAAACTTGCAGTATTTAAGTAATAACATTCAAAATACAACATTAATAAAGTCTAATTAACAGTTGACAGTCTCTCCTCCCTTTGACATGAATTTCAGTACTCATGCCAAGTAAAACAAAAGCATCTTATAAATGCTTATTCCTGCTAACAAAGAAAGGGTACTTCAAGGCTGCTTTTGCCTTCCTTTAGCTTCTCTCTGGACCACACTGCAGTATAAATTTCAAATTAGAACAACACCAGCGGGGCCTTACCTCTGTCACTGAAGTCATCCACCAGGATGATCTCTGCGATCAGGCTGTCTGGGGTGCGGTTGATGATGCTGTGGATGGTGCGCAGCAGCGACGTCCAGCCCTCGTTGTGAAACGGGATGATGATGCTCGTGTTGGGGAGCGCCTCCAAGTACACCTTGTGCTTACAGCTGCAGAGGCAGGGAAATAATTGTGTAAGCGTACTGAAAATCTGAGTTGGCCTATTTGTCATCCATTTGGGCCATCCAACCAATATGGTTTCTGACATAAAATTCAACAGTGCAATCAAGCAGTAATTTCATGTGAAAATAGCTGGATTGTTTAAAACACATTGCTTACAACACTAAATAAATTGGAACAATGACAGAATTTAGGTGGAATGAGTGAAAAAAAAAATCTGTGTAGAATTATTTTCTTTCACTGGAAATTTTTTCCCGTAATATGACAGATGACATATCTTCTATGTCATCATTTGCAAAAACCAAATCCTCTTATCAAAAAGAATTCCAGAGCATAATATTAAGCTACTATGAAGTGATTGTTTGGTCTAAAAAGAGATAAACTCTAGAAAACAATTCAGTGTTATCCTGGGTGATATGAGCTTACAATACAAAAAACAACATCCACACATACAACTCCAACTTTGCATCTACAGATCCAAAATGATTGCTCCTATTAAGTATAGACATAAAGCAACACACAATTCTGGAAGTGTGGACTTATAAACAAGGAAATGTAAACAAGCTTTCATCTTGAAAGGAAAGCACCATACACTCAGCAACTTAAATGCACAGCAGCTATGGAATATCCACCCTTAACCTGTTTTCAATATTGAGCTGTTTACACATTTCAGAAAGAAAAACACGTAACATTCAAAAGTAAATAATGCCCATGAAAATCAGTGTCTCCTAATATTCAAAAATATTTTATGACAAATGTTTAGATTACTGCATCTGATAGGATTGCATCTTTCATGTTTTGTTGAAAAAAAAGAAAAAAGGAACACATTCCTCTGTTGTTAACAAAGCCTGGCATTTTCACCTCTGGGGACAAAGTAAGTGAACGATTTCTCATTCCTCAAAAGAAAGTCACATCCTGATAAACGTATCCCCAGAGCAGAAACCTGTCAGCTTTGCAATAAACAAACAAAATTAAAAGTTTAGCCCCGCAAATTCTAGGGTTAAAAAAAAAGTATAGACATCTTTTCTCCTTGTCAGGAAGTGTAACTATGCATATCAAAAACTGTTACAGAATAGTTCTGATTTACATATATTTGCAGCATAGTTTGCATTTCCTCTTTATAAGTGTAATTTAAAAATCAGTATTTACCAATACACTATACAGCTACCACACTGATGAAATGTTACAAAGAAATAATAAAAAACTCATAGCTAATATAGTTGTATTTGCAAAATGTTAACTGTTATGTAGCTATAAATAAACTAACTAGGTTTTAGATATCTCACTAAAAAAAAAGATTTAAATTTGTAGTTCAGACTTTCCTTCCTAAAACACAGTGCAAATTAACTGAATGACAAGCCCTTTTCTGAAATAACCACTGTGGAAACATTTTAGTAAGTAGCTTGCTGGTAAAACATACATGTACATTGGAAAATGAACAGATGCTTTGCAATAATGTGAAGTTCTGGAGAAAGCAGTGGTCATTATCTAGTGACAGAAAAGTCTAAGTATGTATATTTAAATGTTTTGTGAAAAAAAGAAAATCCACTGCAGCAAAAGAATTTAATAGAATTTTTTATTCTTATCTGTAGGAAGAAGTAGAAGAAATGAAGTCCATAATTGATACATTGTTGTTTCAGACAGCAAATTAAGAAAGCCACCTACCAAAATCATCACCTATTGTTGCCGACTGTCTGTCCTCATTGATGCTTCTTGGACTAGAACAAATGCAACTAACAGACATACATGGAACTCTCACGCTATTTTTAAAAGCAAAAGTTTTTCCTTCAGCATTTTTGACCTCTAGTAAATATGATTTCAAACTAGTAAGTTTTCACCTCCATAAAACCCCAAGCCAAGCCAAAAAAAAAAACAAACCAAACAAGTCAAGCAAAAGAACCTCACATATGTAAGATTAACAACTTCTAAAGAGAAAAAAAAAATACCCAAAACACCCAAACAGATCAAAATCCCATTTATTTTTTAAAAAGTCACCTCTCCAGTACAACAAGATACCTTTTGAAAGCAGTTGTACTGAAATTTGCATGGTTAATATGGTAAGCTTATGCATGTAGGAGGAAGTAGGGAATTAAATTTGGATATTCACATTGACAGTGTCAGAGTAATAGCATTATGTTAAAGCATTGAGAAGGAGAAGCAACACTAATGCATTTAGTCTACAACTATTCTATTCTTCCTGCTGAACAGACTGATCTAAAACAGAGCCACACTTAGAAGAGGAAAGCATCTAACACTTTCTTAACATTTCTCCATCATTCAACTTTGACCTTTAATCCTCATTTACATTTACTTTTGATTGCCATTGTAAAGGTATATGTGAATTGATTTCTAGCAAAAGTCACAAACCACCAAAACATCCTTTTGTGCTTTTATCAAAAAAACTGGCCAGATTTCAAATTCATAGAAATGAAACCTTAAACTTAATCATTTTCTGCTAGGTTTCATAGCAGTGCTTTACTTGCCTTTCCTCATCAAGTGGAATTGTGCTCATTTTTAGCCCCTTGCTCTCTTGTCATGAGACTCTAACAGCAACAGACGATCACTGTCTTAAAAAGCCTTACATGAAATCCATTTTATTTGAAGTTCTGTTCAACATTGTCCATAGCAGAGGGCAGCTGGCTCTGTGCTCTGATGGGCTGCAGGACTGAGCTGATGAACAGCTGTCATGTTCAGAAAAGGCCCAGGAACTGCCACAGAGATGCAGTTGGACCTCCACAGCTGAGACACTGGATGTGGCATGAGAATAAATCTATGTATTTTCATGAGGATAAACATTTATCATGCATGCACCATTTGTTCCAAGTCCACAAGTGTGCTCTTCATATCCTGAGTTTTAGAAGTGATGCCAAACACCCTGGCTACAAAAAAGACTATTTAGAAGCTACAGACATTGCTTCTCGTTTTAAAAGGGAAATTCTTGAGTCTCCAAAGCAATGAGGCATTGCAATTCAAGATACTTACATATTTCCTGAAGAATGCAATCTTACCAAAATTCTCTAAAATAAAAAGTAAAGCAAGGTTTGCTGTAGAAAGGAAAAATTCTATGTATAAAAGATTACCATAACCTCATATACATTAGGTAAAACTGTCTAAATTATGGTAAAATGAAACTGAACTGGCTACCTGCAGAAATATTTAAAATACTACTGAGTAAAATAATATTCTTCCCAGAGCCTAAAAATTTCGGTGGAAAACTCAGTCAAAGTTGTATCAGTTTAGCAAATTATAGTACTTATAGCACACATGAACTCCAATTGTCATCCTCCACATAGAGACATTGCAAATTACTTGCACACCAGGTGAATGCAGGCTTTATTTGGGCAGTAAGTATCATTCAGGTAGTTTGAATGGCAGAATAAAGTGTCCAAAGAGCACAATGATTTTCATTGAGGCTTGAAATACTAGAAAATCTATAAAGGCCTGGAAATAAATCCTAAAATCAATACTCAAAAAAGGTTAGTAGATTTAAGATGGACAGATAGGCAGTTCAGCCAGCTTCAGTGAAGTAAGGGCTTGCTCAAAGCCATAACTCAGTGTAGAAAAGATTGCAATGTACCTGATGTCAATCAACATCATTAAGCTCTCCTCCTAATTATGAAATCATGGCTCAACTGATAAAGGCAAATATATTACTGTACAGCTTTAGTATCACATCATATTTTGATTAAGGAATTAAAAAAGAAAAAAAATCAGAGGGGAATTGAAAAACGGATACAAAGACTAGGTCTTTCAAAATAATTTAAATAGGAACTTATTATTTGTTATTTTTAGCTTGTTTCTATCAAGACTAGTTTTTTGCCTTAGTGACACTTTAAACTGGATTAACTTTTAAAATAAGATATGAGGACTCTGCACTAACAAGACTGATTTAAATAGCAAATGATGATGAAGATAGGTTGAGTCTGTTAATTCAATCTACATATATATTATAAAATAGCTTGTTTGAATGAGCTATATATTAGTATAAACACACAAAGTTTCAAAAGAAAAACTTGTCATGATATTTTATAATTTTGGGATTGAGGGCAGAAAACTAAATCAGTCTACCTGAAATTAGGATACCAAACTGATTTTTCACTTTGGCTTTGATCACTATAATTTCCATGAAAGTGTTTTCTGCAATCAGCCCTGGCTACATATGTATGCTCATCATTCCCATACTGATAAGAGGATAAATACTTAAGGGTGCTAAGAACACATTATTTGACTAGTCTTCCACTTTTTTCACTACATTTTTCCTCACTTGTATCTTGACTTCCATACTTGTGTTTCTTCAGATAACCAAATAGCTCAGTCCAGCAATATTTTTAATGTTTGGTGTTTGAGGCACCACTCATTCACGTTGCTCAGAAACCTCACACTGTGTTTTCCTCAGCTAACCTTGTTCAGCTACAGGAATAACGCAGCCTCCTCTTTAGAGGCTGATAAGTGATCATTTACATACCTGGAGGCCTAAGTGCTCAAGGTTTGATGCTGTCTTCCACAAATTATTCCAAGAAATCCTGATCAGTCAGCTTAGCTCACCTCTGGGCATGTGCCATGCTACACCATCAGCACCCAGTGCAGTGTACCAGTAAACATCTGTGGCACACCCTGTGGCTCATCCTAACTGAATAGAAACAGACCTCCAGTCTTCTCCAGAGGGTGAATTTGGGATTGTTCCCAGCTCTACAGACTGCCAGACTAGGCCCGTGAATTTAAACAGCTTGCCCATTTCACAGCCAAGACTGGAATCCAGCAATGTATGGGCATGTTATGTCTCTTGCCCTTTCAACACACAGTCTCATCAGACGCAGTACTTGCCCTTTCAACACACAGTCTCATCAGACGCAGTAACCTGCCAGCTCTTCTCTCAAGAGCTGTAAAAGGCAGTGGCCTTGAGAGCTTAGTACCTGTAATACTCATCATTTTATGGAATCCCTTACTAATACTTATTGAAGACTGGGAATCCATTTTATTGCTGAGCTCC